TCCTCAGTTTATATGAACTTTTGGGGGCAGCCGCCCCCTTTTCAGAAGGGGAGTCCTTGTTCAAAGACACCAAGCCTAACTTGCCATCAGATTTGCTTTCTTCTTCTTCCTTTTTTCCTCAGCTGGTTCCCCAAGCTGTATTCGCAGAAAATCACATGCTTTAAAAACAGAGACAATCTTTTCTTTTTTATCATGGAGTTTGAAAATGACGCTTTCTGGAATTAGCCATCTGTAACTGATGCCATTTGTTTGTAAGAAAAGGATTAATTCTTTATAGTTCTTTCTCTTCTGTTTTGTGTCAAATGGAATGTCTTTTAAAATCCTGATGTTGTTGTCCCCAATTTTCAAGGGTGTTCCCGTAGTTGCTTTCAAGATAGCATCTCTCACATGTCTCTTTGAGAATCTGACTACTATTTCCCCAGGCAGATTATTTTTCTTGATATATGATGAATAGGACCTGTAGACCACATCCATCTCACTGTAGAGGTATTCCACTGTCAAATCTGTCGTTGGGGCTACTGCTTCACTCAGCCATTGCTTCAGATTCTCTCCTCTAATTTCCGGGACCCCTTGAAACCGTAGGACCAAATTTGTTTTCTCCATTTGTAGCTGTAAAAGTTTTGACTCTTCCATAGCTTGCTTCATTTCCAGCTTTTGCACCATTTTCTTAACTTTTTTAGTATTGGCTTCACTTTCTCCCCCATTTGCTCTGTTGCTTTTAAAGATTGAGTCAGTTGTAACTGCTGTGAAGCCAAGCTCTGACCAATTGTTGACAGTTGCTGCTTAATACTAGTCATCTCATCCAGCAGAGGGTGCAAGGAATCAGCCAACAGTTTTGAGAGCTCAGTAGTCTCTTCCGTTCGAGGACTACCCACTAGTTTCGGTTTCAACAGCTTTTCTTTCTCCAGTTTCTTTCCCGCCATCTTTTTGGATTTGTTTACTTTTCAAAAAGTTGCTAAAGTCTCTGATATTCACCCAGACGCTTATCTGCGCTCTGGTAAGTCTCTTAAAACAGATTTAATCGCTTATTTTTCCGCTCCCCCCTCTTTCCATCCGTGTTTCGTCTATGCGTTTGGGAGGGACCCCTCCCCCGCTCGCTTTCTCGTTGGTCTTTACGGGGGGCAGCTTTCTTTTTAAGTCTTCACAGTCACTTCAACCCGACTCACAGTTCGTTGTTGGCCAGCTGGCCTCACTTGGCATCATTTTTTTTTGCCCGATCTCCAACGTTTGTCCCGGTCAGCAGCACTCGTACCATATGGTCACTTAGCGGCAGGACCTTTGGGGCGGAGGAGTGCCTCAATTCTCCGGCATCGCGCCATCGAAGAGGTCACCCCTCAAAAGCCCCCTGGCTAGGAGCCTTTTACCAAGGCTCCGGGGGGGGGGGTCACGACCCATCGCACCCCCTCCTACACGCTGGTGTGCAGTTTACATCCCTGGGGCATCCAGGAGATGTGTCTGCCTGCGCGTCGCCATAAACCAGAAGTCGTTATAACAATGAGTATTTAAAAAGCATGATTCCAGATTCCTCATGCATATGTCTGTTGGTGGCTAACCAATAAACCACATCTTCTGACTTCTCTTTCATCCATGACTGGACCAGTCTCATTATCTTTTTCAGATACCTTCTGCATTGGGTCACAACAAGCAATTAAATGTTTTGTGTCTATGTGTATGAACCTGACTGTTTCAGTTCTTCTTTAGACCTATACAGTTCTGAGCCCTGGCCCTGCCCTGCCTGGGCCCAGGAGCCACCCATACTGTTGAAGGTGGCTGTGTCCCTGGGTACCATTCACTCTCTGCAGACAAGATGATATCTGGGTACAGCAAACCACCCCTCCTTCCCTGCGCTGCATGGGCCCAGGAGCCACCCTCACTGTTGTGCATTGTTGCATCCCTGGGCCCTGTTCAGTCTTCATGGACAAAATGATAGCTGGGTATGGCCAACCACCCTTCTCTGCTGCCATTCCTGGGCCCAGGACCCACCCGCACTGTTATAGGTAGCCATATGCCTGGGCCCCATTCACCGTGTATGGATATGGTAATTGCAGAACATGGCCGACTTCCCTCCTCCCCTGTCCTGCTTGGGCCCAGGAGCCATCAGCACTGTTTTGGGTGGCCAGATCCCCAGGCCCCATTCACTCTCTGCATTCAAGATAACCATTGGGTACAGCCAATCCCACTTCTCTGTGAGGCCCAGAAGTAACCCACAACAGAGGAGGTGGCTCAGGGCCATGACACAAAGAAGATCCAGATCGAACAGCACTGAAAATAGAAGGAAGACATGGAGGTGGCTTGGGGCTCCAAAATAACAGAGAGAAAGGGAGATGGAAAGGGAGGACCAGCCAAACTCCATAACAAAGCCTTGGAAAGAAACCTTTGGCAGTGCACAGCAATCACTTTGCTAGCGAGGTGAGTTAGAAGCTGGTTCAAAGCCATGAGTCCACCTAATACCCAACAGTAAAGAGTGGATCAAGATTGGAATGGGGTGGGTTAGTCATGCACAGCTAATCTTGACAGTGGGGTGGGTTAGAGGATGGCTTGACATCCTGAGTTCACCCAACATCCAAACCCAAGGAGCAGAGAGAGAGAAAGCTCACATTCAGAAAGAGTGGCTTGAACCTGCTACCATAATCTTATTCCCAGGAAGGGTCAGCCATGCACGGCAATCACCTTGCCTGTGGTGCACATGAAAGGGGATGGCTCTGGAGCCCTGGAACAAAGGGAAGCCCCCCCCAAGTTCCAAACACCCTATACCATGCCCCCCCACCCAGGCTCCGGCGATGACTCAGATTTGTGACCCACACCAAATGCCCTGGAAGAATTGGCCATGCACTGTGATTGCTTTGCCAGTGGTGGGAGTGAGAGATGGCCCTGTAACAAAAGGGAGGACCACCCCCAACTATAAGTGCCCTGTGTCATGTCCCCACCCAGGCTCTGGCTTGTAGCCAGTATCCAAAAAAGGGATTGAAATTCTGAGTGAGACATGACTCCTACTCCTGAGGGGACGCAGCAAGGTACTGGACATGGCCACACAGATTAGTGACCCACACTGGACACACTGGAAGGGCTGTTGATGCAACACAATAATCTTGCCAGTGGAGAGAGTGAAAGGGGGTGGCTCTGGACATGTCAAGTTGCCTTGGGAATATCTTTGGCCATGCATAGCAATCACCTTGCCATTAGTGCCAGTGGCCCTTTCATACTCCTACACAGAGAAGCCCCCAAATGCAGAAGTTAGCTATGATGTGCATTGACATAGTGGCCTGAATACCCAAGACCATCACAGACAGTATCTCATGATGACTGTTGATGTTGTGGCTCACAACACTGAAAAGTGTTGGCCACACATAGCAATAATCTGGGGAAGGGGACTGAAATGCCAGCTTGAATCCCTGAGTCCACCCAACACCTAGTCCCCAACAGGAAAGAGCTGACCAAAATGGGAGGGGGGGGCTTGAACCTGATGCCAAGGTCCTACTCCTAAGAAGGGCTGGACATGCACTGCAATCATCTTGACAGCAGTGCAAGTGAAAGAGGCCAGACGAAGCCATTTAAATACAGGGATGTTGCCCTATATGGATTAAATTGCATCTCATATTGTCTGGGAAAGATGAGTTAGGGTCAGAATGGCTTTTAAAATATATATTTTATTATTTTTGGTCAGAATGGCTTGATGGTCATTTTTAACCAGCAACAAGGAAAAATAAATCTTATGTTAAATGACCAGCTGAAAGATTAATGGTTCAGGTAGAAAAAAAGCAGTTGAGTATATGCAAAACAAAGTTCATTGAGGACTTCGTGAAGAGTAAAGGAGGGTAAAAGGAAGAGCTACCAAAAGACACAGAAAGGATGGTTGAACTTTCTAGAAAATAATTAGAAGTATCTGGTTTATGCAAACAATAAACGAAAGGGAACTGAATGGAAACTAAAATTATAGTAATATTGTGTGGGGTATAGTTAAACTGAAGTTCAGCATTTTAAAGACTAATTTTTATTCCAATATAAGTTTCCATGGGTTGGAACTCACTTCACCAGATGAATTTAGAATAAAGTTTATCAATCTTTAAGTTGCTACTGGACTCCTGTTTAATTTGTATGGCAGGCATCAAATAAATAAGAATAAAAGGAATACCCTGAATGATGGTCAGAAAAGATATCCAAATTATTTTGACACAAATTCAGCTCAGAGAATCAGCAAATAATAAAAGGAAAAACACATGTAATGTGACAAGCACAAAACAATAAACACGAATTAAGGAGGGAAGACAAAGAAAGTAATACTCTCCTTGAGCAGATAAGCAAAATTACTGGGACTTAATTAGTCATTTGCATATCCCACATGCCCATAGGCAAAATATTACAACTTTTTAAGCTATCTCCTGGGAGGAGTCAGCAAGGAGGAGAGACATAACATTGTTCAGATATTCCCAGTATAGTTGACAGAACTGGAGAAATATACTGATGTTGAATGCCATTATAGAATGGGCAGTGCAGCAGAACATATTGAATAGACTCTACTTTCCCTGTATGACATGGGCAAAGCTGTTGAGGGAACAGGACAGAAAAGATATTGTAGAAATATTTCTGTGGCAGTGTTGGTGAAACAGATAAAGTAAAACCTATGTCATTTTTGTGCAAGATCTGAAAAAATAACATCTTCTATCCCCTTAATTAATCCATGGTTTTGTAGTAAACATCTGAATATGTGTCTATCTCAGGAAGTTCATACCTTGGCTCCATTGGTCTGGATTTTAATTACTTAGTATGGTTTAAAAAATATGTCTGAGTCCTTTGAACAGCTGACCTGCTACTTTTTAAATGTCTCGAATTTTGTGAATGCCCTTTGCTGGTGTGTAAGCAATTGAATGAATATATACATTTTGTGTAATCGAATTGCTGCAAATATATTCCATGTCTGGTATACATTTATTTTTAGGTCTATCGATAGATTATGCAGAGAACAAGCTTTATTGGATTAGTTCAGGAAATGGAACCATAAACCGGTGCAATTTAGATGGTGGCAATTTTGAAGTAATAGATTCAATGAAAGAAGAACTAACAAAAGCTACAGCTTTAACCATTATGGGTAAGTCAACATGTTTAGGATGCACTGTCTGTTAGATTTTACTCTCCAAAGCATATTAATATTGTCCTGTAAGATATGTGACAAAATCCCTTTGGTTAGTGCAAAACTACTTTGGTCCTTAATATATACGTTTGAAGGCATCATATTGTTTATTTTCTTTAAATTTAAACTGCTGTTTTGTAGAAAAGTTTTTACCAAGCTACTCTGTAAGAATTCATTCATGGGTGCCTCTTTGCTCCAGATAGTAACTGAGTATAATTTTTCATATTTTCAGTTCCAACCCCCTTTTCCAAATCAGTAAAAAACTGTTCACACATTCCTCTTTAGTATTATGGAGCATGAAGTTTTAACATGTATCTACACAAATAAGTCGTTTGATTCCAAATAACTAATGCTTCACTAGAGATTATTAGTTTAACATCAGTACACATGTAAGCATTGGGGATGGATACTCTTGGTGATTCCTAGATATAATGAATACAGTAAGAAATCAGGAGGACAAGCCTAAAGATAAAATGACAGAGGTGCTTACAAGTTAATCAAAAGATAATGTAGAAGTATTTCATTTATTTACTGAAATTATTTCTATTCCCCTCTTATCCAAATGAACCCAAGTAAGCTGATGTATCTAAATTTCAGATCCTAATTTTGAATCAAGATTAAGATGGAACACTGGTTTATGTTAACCATGGACATATTAGGGATGTATCAATAGAAATCTTAACTATGGTTAGGTAGTAGCAAAACATCCATGTTACTCAGGTCCATAAAGTCTTTCTTGAGTAGGCTTATTTTCTTATTGTATATAGAAAATAATGTTGCTCATAAAAATGTTGCAGGGCATTTTACTTTTCACTTTAATCTTGGGATCCACTGAGATTAAATTGTTATGGAATGAGAAGTGGGGTGTTTTTACTTTTATGTACCGTTTGGCTACAACCATGTGGTCATCATTCTCTTTTGTTAATAGCTGATAGTGAGGAGCTCTACACATCCTGTGCTCATTTTAAAATATACAGAGGCAATGAAAACACAAAAACATCACTACTGTGATATATTTTGTTCAGGTTTTAGTATTCCCGGCAGGTACAGTTGTCATTTCTATAAAAGAGAAATATTATAACAGCTTGCCATTAGAACTTGGTTTGTGTAGAGCTACAGTTCCTGAAAGTGATATTCAAAATAACAGTTGACATTTTCCATTAACTCAGGAAAGAAGTTAAACTTGAAAATGAAAGTTTAGTTCTTATTATGGGCCAAGGGGCATGGGGGGCAGAGGTGAGGAATGATACAATGGACCACTGATAATCTTGGGCAAAAAAGGCCACAGCTTTACTGAATACACTGCAGGAGCATTGGTGCAGCATGGCAATGGATCATGCATCAGACAACATGCCTGCCAACCGATGAACCCCACACTCCAGCCCGCCTACTGGGGGGGGGCAACTGATAAGTGACAAACCACAAGGAACCATGTGAGCACTGGCCACTGCATGGCTCCTTTTGCTACCTGGTGGTGAGAGCCCTACTAACAGCCCCCAAGCTGTAGGAGGAGGGTGGGTGGTCTTGGCCCTCAAGAACACCCAAGCTTCTCTCCCACATCCAGAAGTCCTCATACTGCTGTGGACCCCTCCCCTGCACAGGCCATGTGGTCAGACTATCAGAGACCACATGGTTCTCTACTGCTCTGCCCCCCCAGCCCTGGAACCCACAAAGGTCCCAGCCATATTTTTTTTCTATATAAATAGTGAAAGTTATTTAAAGAACAGGAGAATATAAAAATATGTTGGATCATGTAATTCCCCTTGGTTCTGAGGAATCTTGTATGACCAAAAGACTACTTTCCTTCTCAGGAGTCTTCCATGAATGGAAAATTCCTTACTTAGCAGCAAGGGACCATTGCATCCAACCCAACAGAAAATCTTGATAGGAGGATTACAACCTGGAAATGCATGTCAATAAAATTTGAGTTAGAATCACATTATAAGAACTCCTAAACCCTTGTCTCATGTGTTGTCTGAAGAGAATCAGAGCCTTCATCCAGTTTAAGGATGGTTATTTGGTGTAGTGGTTAAGTGCGCGGACTCTAATCTGGGAGAACTGAGTTTGATTCCCCACTCCTCCACTTGCACCTGCTGATGTGACCTTGGGGAAGCCTTAGCTCTGATAAGAGCTGTTCTCGAAAAAGAGCAGTTTCTGTTAGAGCTCTCTCAGCCCCATCTACCTCACAGGGTGTCTGTTGTGGGGAGGAGAAGGGAAAGGAGTTTGTAAGCCGCTCTGAGACACCTTTGGGTAGTGAAGGGCAGGGCATAAATCCAATCTCCTCCTCCTCCTCCTCCTCCTCCTCCTCCTCCTCTTCTTCTTCTTCTTCTTCTTCTTCTTCTTCTTCTTCTTCTTCTTCTTCTTCTTCTTCTTCTTCTTCATGTATTGGCTGTAATGAACTTAAATAAATAACCCACCCTTAAACTGAACAAAGGCTGATAGGCTCAATGTCTCTAAGATTAGCCTAACCCTATTACTATTTTTCAAAATAATTTTAGGTTTGAGGTATTTTAATATGCATGTTTATAATGTATTCAGATCTCATTCATACTGAAAGAATAACATACATATTTTTATTTTAGATGCCTACCTAATATGGGAATATATGCAACTATTTCATAGTATTGCTAAAATGAAATTCATCATTTGCCAGAGCCAACATACATTTCCTATAACAAACTTGATATATATTAGGAAGAATATATTCAATTATAAGTACCATAAGATTCTGCTGAAAATATTTCATCTTCATTTTAACTGTTGTCTCAGGACCAATTTGCACATTTTCCAAAATGTATTGCTTTGCTAAAGATGAAAAAGTAATATGTGAAAGTGTTGCACCTGTTTCACAACATGGCACTCACTAAAGAAAGGTTAACAGAGGTGCTTCAAGGAAACAAGTAGTATTATGCATTCAGTTCCTTGGATGAGGTTCAAGATACCTGTGTTGCTTTCTACAGTGATTATATAAATGGAAAATTTACTGTGTAAATTGTTTCTCAGATTGTACATTTTGGTTAAAACTGGAATGTGTTGTACTGTAAGAATACATATCTCCTTTCCCCCTTTATAACTTGCTGTTGAAAGCTGTGTACAAGTGCACAAATAAGCAGGAGTCTTTGACACCCTAAAAACTAACAACATTTCAATTCTAGCATGAACTTCCAGATATTGTTCACGGCTTGAATTTTTAAAAAAATAATGGTTTCCTATATGCTTATTTTCATGAGTAGTGTAGTGTTACTATTTAAACTGTTTTTTGGTCACTTATCACTACTATTCAAGCGTATTTAGAAACATAAATTGATATACTTCATACAAGTAGTATGTACACAGAAAATATATGTTCCACAAATGTGGCTTGTATGTTCTCAAGCCCAAAAAGAACACACGAGAGAAGTCCCAGTGAGGAGAAAAAGTTCTTTGGATATTTATTGCAACGTCTATTAGAAAAACAGTTATTAGGCTAAAATTGCCTGTCAAAAATTGACTGCTTTCTGAATAACATGAGGAAGTACACAAAATTTTACCTAAAATGATATAAGCAAAAGATAATATACAAAAATCATAATTGGTTAGAAATGGTAGAGCATCATTTGAGTTGCCATACATTTATTGGTCAGTTACAATAAAAGGTATGACTACATTATATCTTAAATGTTTACTTAACCTGATCTACTTTAACTTTAACCAAGGATTCTCTATACCCAAGCAAAAAGTGTTATTTTCAGATAAGTCAGATAAGGAACTCAAGCCCTTCCTGACCCAGACACTTGGTTGCTTTTACCCTAAACAACTAAAGCCATGAACTCTATACTTTGAGTAAAAAGTCGACTAAATACCCCTATCAGCAAGCCCATCCTCCCTTGTTCCATTAACACTATACTTAAAGCTTATTAGTACTGTCAGACAGCTGAGACAGCTTCTCCAGCCAAGAAACCTGATAAGAAAGACTTTGTTTGCCAGAAATGGATCTCTAATTCCTAATAGACTCTTAATATTAAAATCTATAAAACCAGAAAAGCATAAGCATATGAATATTCTAAATTTAAATTATTAATAATAAAATCAATGCATTCTCATCCGTGTCACATATATATGGTTCCTTTATTTTCACTTTCTTTAATTTTCTCATTCTTTAAAGGCATTGGTGAATAACAGAGAAAGTAATATTGTATTAGATTTTTTGCCTTTTTAAACACTTTTTTTCCTGAAATGAATTGGTAAAAATAGTTTGCTCTGCTCAAAGATAAGCAGTCTATCAATTTCACTGAGATGGAATTTGAAGACTGTGGGCATAATCCTTGGGAGCCAGTTTGGTGTAGTGGTTAAGTGCGTGGACTCTAATCTGGAGAACTGGGTTTGATTCCCCACTCCTCCACTCGCAGCTGCTGGATGACCTTGGGCAAGCTGCAGTTCTATCAGCGGCATTCTTGAAAAAGAGCAGTTTCTGTCAGAGCTCTCTCCGCCCCACCTACCTCACGGGATGTCTGTTGTGGAAAGGGGGAGGAAAAGGAGTTTGTAAGCTGCTCTGAGACTCTGAGTGAAAGTCAGGGTATAAATCCAATCTCTTCTTCTTAATCTTCTTGAATCAGAGAAACACTGGATAAGCCTTGAGATATAAGGAGCTTCCATTTACTGTCAGATAAGATGGCAGGCTAGATTAGTAGAACATTGCAATCAACACATTGTACAGAAGGACTTTTACTGTTTGAATCAAGCATCAGGCAGATCCAACTATACAAAGTAACTTCCAGCATGAGCTTCCCTATATGTTACCCTCACAACAGGGATGGCATTGCCATCTCATTCCATGCCCTCCAAGGTCCGGTTCTAGATTTTGGGGGGTTCTGGGTGTGCCCCTCCCCTGCCTTGCTCATCAGCAGATCCTCTGCTCATACCTCTCTTTATGCTCACCCTGTGCCCACTACTTGCCTGTTCATCCTTCCCTTGCTTTG